TAAAGTAGCAATAGATTGCTTTAAATTTACAGCATGAATCTCTGAATATATAAATCAGATACAAACATGTAAAATTTTTAAAATAAAGGACAATGTCTAAGCTCATTTTTGCCCATTTAAGTTATTAAATGGTCTGAAAGTAAGCTCTGAATACTTTCCTTGGAAAAAGTTCTGCATTTTTTTCTAACCTATGTTCTCTTTTCCATTTGCAAAAACAAATCTTGATTTTCAAAGAAAGTGAAGATGCTATGAAAGACTCTTTCTCTTGCAATTTATTTTTCATTGGCTCACTGCCCCCCGACAATTAGGAGAAAATTTATAGACATGTCCCCTGAATAATTGGCAATTAATTTGAGATTAGATGCCAAAAAGTACAGTATTTTTAATGTAATGTGAAAGTTTAGGCTTTTCACTTACAAATGTCACGGAACACAGAGTAAATGTTAACCGGCAGCATAGTTAACCTTGCCCTTTTGCACATTTGCAATAGAAAGAAGTTTTAGTTTGATGATTATAAACTTTAGCTAGCTTAGCTAGTTTTAATGTAAAGCTCAAGTAGGAACCAAGAGTGTCAGCGTCTTAAGAAAGGGATCATGCTTAGTGAAATAAGCCAGAAAGAAAAAGAAAATTTTTGGGTGGTTTCACTCATAGCAGGAGTGCAAGGGATCAGGGGGGAATAAAGCAATTGTAATAAAGTAAAAATGAAAAACAACAAACAATTATAAACCAGAAACATTTTACAGGGGTTGAGAGGGGAGTAGGATCAAAACTTGGGTGGGAAGACTGCATGGGACTATGGTGATGGCATATGGCTGAATTGGTGGTGGGAGTCCCCGGGGATTACAACCAAGATGAAGAAATGCACAAAATGAAGAATGATGCAAATAAATGTATTAGATAATAATAATAATAATAATAATAATAATAATAATAATAAAGAATGGCTTTCAAGCTGCAGGGTATCACCACGTATGACCCATAAACATGTGTGAGCCATGCTGTATATGGGATAAGGAGAATGTATCTTAAATTTTTTTAAAAGATTTATTTATTTATGCATACAGAATTGGGGTATAGGCCAGAGGTGCAGGGATGGCGAGAGGATTCACCAGAGACAGAGAAGGGAGCAGAACGGGCCAACTGATGAAGTACACTGCTGAGGGGAGCTGCGGGCAGTCAGGAGAGGCCTCCCACACCATGTGGGTCACCTCCGGGGCTGGGGTTCGAACTAATGCTGAAGTGGCTTTTGCTTCTTAGTGCTGTGCTTTAACCCGCTGCGCCACCAGGGAGGGCCCTCAAATCTTTTTTTTAGAATTTTGCTTTTGATTGTTGCAGTGTGTTTGGATGCTCATCATGGCTCAGATATGTCTCTTACGGACTGGAACTCTGCTCTCCTAAGGGGAGATGTAAAATCCTAGGTTCTGGACAGTGCAGAATTTGCTGGTAAATGCTCTTGTCATTTTGGTCGAAATCCCAAGTGCCCATAACTAGAAGGTGACAGGTGTGACTCTCAAATACCAGTGTTTATCAGGTGGTTTCATTTTCTGAACTCCAACTCGAGTACTGTGCCAGAAGTATATTTCATACCTACAAATTATTTGTCACTCAGTTTCCATGTCTTCAGGCCATTCTAGCACAAGTAGATTTATTCCCTTCTAGAAACTCCAGAAATATCCTTCAGCCCAAATTTTTCTAGGTCTCTATTTTGTTTCTGCCTATTTCTAAATTAACACGATTGTTTTCACATTTATGTGCATTTTATAAAAGAGTAACTCTCAACTTTGGACTGACTTCAGTTCTTTCTCCACTTGCCTCAGTAATTTGTCCACTCTCCATTCAAATAATGACTTTTTTTTTTTTGGCGTGGAATTATTTTATTTTTAAGATTTATTTATTTATTTAGACATACAGAACTGGGGTACAGGCCAGAGGTGCAGGGGCGATCACCAGGGAGATCGAGGAAGTACATTGCTGAGGGGATCAGCAGGGGGCTCAGGAGAGGTCTGCCACAACTTATAGATCACCTCTGGGCAGGGGATAGGACTCCAGCTGAAGCTGTTGGGGCTAGCTTGCAGTGCTGTGCCCTAACCTGTTATGCCACCAGGGAGGTCCTGAGTGACTTATTTTTACAAAACACTGTATGAATATCATTTCACCCTCACAAAAATTTTGTGACCAAGCCCCTGTCCTACCAAAGCTTTATTTTTACAGATGAGAAAGTGAAGTTTGGAGATTAGTCAGTGCATATGGTCTCTAGCTGGTAAGTGGTGGAACCATGATTTAAACCCAAGCCTGTTTGTCTTTAGCCACTAAGATTATTTTTCCTTCATTTTAACTCTAGTGGGAAATTAAGAAGTAAGCATTTAGAACAGTGTATATCTCAAACTTTTAAAAATGAATTTTTGCAATATAGTTTACATACTAGAAAATGCACCCATTTATGTACACACATAATTTTTGACAACCAAACTCATGTCATCACTACCTCAGTCAAGATACACTTTATGATTTATCCCCTCAAAAGTTTTCTTGTCATGGGTGACTTGGTGATGAGAAACCCACAGGGATTACAATTGAGATGAAAAAAAAAGTACAAAATTTGTAAAAATAAACATATATATATATATATAAAGTTTTCTTGTGCTCTTTTTAGATCTTTTCATTTTTGAAAGCGTTGTAGACTCCCAGGAAATTTTGAAAAATGAACAGTCTTTGTGTGTATGTGTGTCTGTTTTCATTTTTCTTGCATAAATAATGGTGGAAATACTGGGGCATTTAATTAGTGAAGGTTCAGCTTTTTAAGTTACTGCCACATTTTTTCTCAAAGATGAACCACTTTATACTGTTACTGGCAGTATGTAACAGTTCCTGTCGTTCTAATAATCTTATTAACACTTGACTTTATCAGTCTTTTAAAATTTTGTTGTTCTGGGTCCTCCCTGGTGGCGCAGTGGGTTAAAGCACAGCACAAAGAAGCTTAAGCCACTTAGCATGAGTTTGATTCCTTCCTGCCCTGGAGGTGACCACATGGCGCGGCAGACCTCTCCTGACCCGCCCGATGCTACCCTCAGCAGTGTACTTCGTCGATCTGCCTGTTCTGCTCCCCACTCTGTCTCTGGTGAAGCTTCTTGCTCTCCGCATCTCTGGCCTGTACCCCCGTTCTGTACGAATAAATAAATAAATCTTAAAAAAAATGTTAAAAAATTTTTTTGTTGTTCTAGTGGATATATGTAGTGGGTTTCATTGTTTTAATTTCTTCCTTTAATAGTGACTATCTTTCTATGTGTTCAATTGGTAGTCATATATGCTATTTGTGAACTCTTAGTTCTTTTGCCCTTTTGGGTTGAGGGTGATAGGAAAGGTGTTTCTTGAAATCTTTGATGAATAATATTTGTTGAACCTCCTCACATTGACTCAAATATGTGTATTTAGATCACTCAAAGCCTAAGATACAGTATAAACCAAATAAACTAGTTCATATTGGGTTTCCTTGGTCTATTCTAAAATGATCAACTGTAGCAGGTAACCTTGTTTTGAACACGATACGAAATTTAAGAATTAGTAGTTTTCTGCCCCAGGTCAGATATATCATTGTGTTAACCATCACTGTCATCTCATGATTTATTCTTTTTTACTATGAGGAAGTTGTCATCTGAAGTCATGAATTTTGTGCTTCCGTGGTTACTGCATTACTGAGCTGTTTCTCTTAGGCTAGGAATGAGCTGCCTAATTTTTATCTTGCCTAATGCTGGAAGACAATCTTAACCTTGATATCCATTAAAATGTTCGCTAACTTGATCCTTAGATTATTATTTATGTTTATGATTTTTTAAAAGATTTATTTATTTATTTGTACAGAACTGGGGTACAGGCCAGAGATGCGGAGGGTGAGAGGATTCACCAGAGACAGAGTGGGGAGCAGAACAGGCAGATCGACGAAGTAACTGCTGAGTGGAGCAGCGGGCAGGTCAGGAGAGGTCTGCCGCGCCATGTGGATCTCCTCCGGGGCAGGCAGGGATTGAACTCATGTGGAAGTGGCTTTAGTTTTTTAGTGCTGTGCTTTAACCCGCTGCGCCACCAGGGAGGGCCTATGTTTATGATTTTTAAAGGAATTTACTTTTTTTTCTATGAAAAATATAACAGAATTTTTTAACTAATGTTTTTGTTCTGTTAAGAGAATTACAAGAAAATAGATATACAAGTACAGTCAAATATCTATTGCTGAAACAACAACAATAAAAAAGGAGTATTACCTAAGGTTTGTAAATCATCACATTATTTACATTGTTTATATAATGAAGGGTGACACTTCCAAAGCTCTAACCCTTCTCCCAAAGGAAATTACTATTAATATTTTCTAATAAGTACCTTTATTAACATATAATCTTTTCTGTTCTTTATAAATTTTACACAAACAAAATCAAACTATGTCCAACATACATATTTTCCTGCAATATTAGCTCGTGAAAATCTAGTTTATGGAGAATAGTTATTACAGGGGTACCTCTGCTTTATTTGACTCACTATTTGTGATAGTTCTCTTTTTTTTTTCTAGTTGGCAGTCTAAAAATGCCACAATAAGCATACTCGAGACTTTGGTGGATGTTTGCAAGAAAGCTATAGGGTAGATTTCTACCTGTTGGACTCTTGGTCAATGAACATTCTGTAATTTGTCAACTATTAAGCCATTTACTTTCCCACTAACATTATCTTTAAATGTCTATAGCACATATTTTAAATGGAAGAACCTAGTTTATATTCTTTATCATTTTAACCTGTTCTTATGTGAAATGACCCCCCCAAATTAATGCTATTCAGTGCTGTTTTATCTTTATTACATGCTTGCTTGCTTTTTCCTCTACAGAGGAAACCTAAAATAAGTCCTCCTAATGAGTGAGGTGACAGTCAGATTTCTTCCTGTAACTGTCCTGCCTATAGCTCACAGGCTCTAGGAAGCCCTATTGTTGATGTGTTCTGTCTGTTTTATGTATTTCCTGCAGGAGGAAAGCTGAACAAGGACCTGCGACATTTTCTTAATCAGCGGTTCCAGAAAGGATCTCCTGATCATGAGCTCCAGCAGACCATAAGGGATAACCTCTACCGCCATGCTGTGCCTTGTGAGTAGAAAAACTGGGGCAGTGTATTGCTGGTTGGGTATGTGAAAAGTTGGGGCGGGGGGGCTCAACAACTGTCTTGGCAGTTTGTTGTTGTAGTGACACCATAAGTCTAGGAATCATAATTGATGGTGGCATATTCAGCAGTATAGTGAATTGCTTTGCTTTTGAATTGTGTTGGTGCCGTTGACAAACTTGTAATGTGGGGCAATTGATGGATTCTTTCTAAAGTTCAGTTTTCACATCAGTGAAAAGGGCATCTTAGTCATACTAACTCCATAGTACTGTTATGAGGATTAAGTGGATGATGCATGGAAATAGTATGTAAAGTATTGGCATGGTATATACTTCTGTAGATGTTAATCATCATTGTTAATCAATCATGTAGAGCAACCGAAGTCCTTCAGCTAGCTCTCAGCAAAGGGAACACCTCAGTGGACTCTCTCTTCCTCCTCCCACTTCTCCATTCAACAACTTTATCAGATTCCTAATCCAGAAGTTCATATATAATTTTGTTTGAAGAAAATGTCTGCTGATTAAAAATCTCAAGGAACTAAGAAAACATTTGCTCAGACCAAATCGGAGAGAAAAAAACATTGACTATAGTAGGGATTGTGAAAAAGTAGGACATTTATGTTAAGGGAAGAGAGAGAAGCAAAGAAGTAGGATGGAGGCAGGGAAATACAAATTTGCAGCTCACCCATTCTTACAGCTTATGAATAGGTATGGTTCATGGGAAGATATACAATTGTTTGACACAATTTAAAACAAGAAGAAAGAATGATTGAGGTTTTATACCTTGGGAGTTTTCTTTATTCCTCTCTTCTACCCCACCCTTCAATATTTGAAATAATACTTTTTAGCCTACAAAAGAAAGGAGGAATGGGGCCTCCCTGGTGGCCTAGGGGGTCTCAGCCCTGCTACCACAGTTATGGCCTGAGTTCGATCCCCAGCAAGGGAGCTAGCCTACATAAGGCACAGAAGACCTCTCTGCTCCTCACTCTGCCTCTGGTGAATCATCTCACCCCCACACCTCTGGACTGCACCCTCGTTCTTGTATGCAAAAATAAATAAAACCTTATTTTTAAAAAAGGAGGAATCTCTGAAGCTCAAAGTATCCCACCTGTTTCTATCATTTGTGTACTATAATTTTTAAAGTTTTTTTTTTGCAGTTGATATTCCAGACTGGTAATGTTTCCTGATACCACTGCTAAATAATAAAACTCATAGATTTTTTAAGTACTGTAAATCTAGATGGGAATCTTTAGCGATCACATTCTAGAATAGCCCCCTGCCTTTATTATAATTATAAGGCAGAGGCTCCAAGAGGGAAGGAGGTTGACTGCATGTCATGGGACCAGTGTCACAGAGTTGTTTCTTTCTGCTGAGCAACAGAGCCAGATTTTCTAGAGCTAACTGAAGGATGAATCAGTATGAATCTCTGGCTCTCACTTTTTACAGTTTTTCAGCATTGGAGTTGAAAACTATTATCCTAATAGCAATTCCTTACATATGGATTAATAATAATTCCTAATTTTAATCCCATGGGTGAATCAATAGTTACCATTCCATTTTTATGCGTCATGAAATCAAAGCACAAAGATAAGGCTAAAAGGTGACCAGGGCCTCAGGGCACCTGAGTCCATTGCCCCGACTTTTAAAAGCTCTCCAATTTTGCTCTTAGAGTCTCTCTTTGAAGTTGCGATTTTAAAATCCATTTTACAAATGAGGAAACATTGAGTTACAGAGATCAAGTAGCCAGTAAATGGCACATCCAAATCTCTTATACTCTTAAGTCATCCAGGGCTGTTTTTGTAGCTGGACTAGAGCTGCCTCTGAAGTACTAGAACAACAGGTTGAGCGCAAATTTGCAGAATTCAGTAATTGCAGAATCACAATTGTTCTCTGTGTAATTTTTCCCCTACTTAGATTCCAATTTAAGAAATGGAGAATGAAGCAATGAGCACACCATTTCTTGATGCATCTGTGGTGTTACTATGGTTACATTTTGGCACACTTCCCCATTTATTTTTTCCACTGATTTATTGGACCTGACTGTGAGCTAAATGGCTTGATTTTAAGTTTACCACTATGTGGAAAGTGGGGCAAGAATGACCTCACCCTTTTAAAAACAGTGGAAAATCATGTTTTGTGTTTGCTTGTTTAAAGCCCTTTGGTATTGATGCTTCATTTCTACAAACCAGTAAATCAGGAATTTGGAAGGTGGAAATAGTTTTCTTATTACAAGAGAAAACAGGCACCGTTTTATTTTACATTTCCTTCATAAAATGGGAAGGAAATCCAGGAGGTCTGTTTCCGAGTCTGCGCCAGAGTAGGTGCCTTTGAACCTGAGCTGATCAGCAGTGACTTCGGATTCTGTTGCCGGCTGGGATTACTCTGGCCACATTTGTGTTTATTTTCATTCTTTGGCTCATGTGAGTGGTAAAACAGAACTCTTTACCAACCTGTTGTGCTAATGGATTAGGAAGCCCTTGATTTGGAGAATGAATCCTCCAGATTATGTTTTTAACTGTGCCACAGGGAAGCAAGCACATGTAATCTGTGCTTTCCAGAACTTCCTGCTGTTGAACTTTCGGTGACTTCATTCTTTAGGAGGGATGACCTCATGAGCAGGTGCTTGTCCATTCGGCTAGAGTTTTCTCCCTTTACAATTTGGGAGACTCAGGTATCACTGGAAATGAAGAAATAAAGTCCTTTAATTCTCAATTTTTTAAAAAAAGACTTTGTTTTTGCATAGCAGAACTGGGGTATAGGCCAGAGGTAGGGGAGTGAGAAGATTCATCAGAGACAGAGAGGGGAGCAGAAAAGGGGGACCCACTGAAATACACTAGTAAGGGGAGCAGTGGATGAGATTGAAGAGGTCTGCTGCATTATATGTGGATCAGCTCCCTGGCTGGGATCAAACTTAGGCTGTTGCAGTGATAGTGCTGAAACTCAACCCCTAGGCCATTATGGAGGCCCTAATTCACATTTTTTTCAATGGCATCTTAGTGTAGTATAACTTTTGTGCATTGTGATGGATTTTTCTATCCTGATTTCGTATTGTCTAAGTTGCTGTATGGAACCGAAATGCCATATAGGTCATAGCATCCCTATTTTACAGGTCAGAAAAATGAAGTAACATGTGACTTCCTCAAAATTGTACCCCTTCTAAATGCCACATTACTCACTTCTCATCCAGTGCTATTTTTATGTTAATTTTTAACAGCTTTATTGAGATAGAATTCACATACCATCCAATTCACCCATTTAAGTGTTCCTCCAGTGCTATTTTTGCTACAATTATTATTCTTCACTCCCCTTTTATTTTGCTTTTATTCAAAAACTTTTATTACTTCCACAGTAAGGGAAAGGTCATCATAGCTGGAATTTAATTATATTTACCACTGAAAATCACCATGAAATAAAAAATTATGACAGAAAGAGGAATGGATGTGGAATGAGTCAGAAGTCCCGATGTACAGTCAGCGTACTGATCTGTAGCTGGATGGCCTGGAAAAGCTCATGGAAACCTCTCAGAGTCTCATTTACACCATAGTAAAATGGAACTGGTCAAGACCCACCCACTCTGATCCCCTTCTCGCACACAGTAGGTCTGACTGCAATGCCTTTTATGTGTCTGCTATGCTATTAGAACCCAACTCTTCTGAGCTTAGGCCCTCTATATACCTCAGTGAGCAGCCCTTCCCTACCTTAGTCCCTGAATCTGAAGGTAACTGTTGAATGAATGAACAACAACTGAAGAAATAGGTAAAACTGCTCTTTTTCTCTTCTTCCTACCCCTTTGGTTACTTAGCATTTGGAGAAAACAGCAGGGTGCTTTTGCCATAAAGTTTTCAGAATAAAAGCCAGTTCATATACTTGGCCTCAGAGATGGCTGATGTGGACTCTACTGTTCGCTTGATTACTTAGCTGGTGATCCAAGCCCTGAAGGAAAGAGTCCAGGCTACCCTGAGCCTGGAGCCTGTGCCCATTCCTAGCTCCTCCTAACTGCGGTCCAGATATTGCTTTGCCTTCTGCATTGATAGACTTCCTGTTTTATGCCTTCTGCATTGATAGACTTGCTGTTTTATGCCTTCTTGTCCTAGCCAATGTGACTACAGTGAAGATTCTTGCTTTGGCATGGCTGCTTTTGCTGTGAAGATAAATGTGTTACCTGACAAGGCTTGTCACTTATGATACAGCCTCTGTCAAAACAAGATACAACTCATCCAGTAGAGCCGGCTCTCTTCCTAACTGGGCTCAGCTCTGTGGAACTCATCTTTCTTTGCAAACAAAGGCCATGAGAAAGAGGAATGATCAGTCAGTTATGTTCTGTAGCTTACCCACTTTGTTGATCAAGACTGTCTCTGATACTGAGACCATTGTAACCTGTCTAAGAGGCATTGATCATTCACTTACAGCAGTTACAAAAAGGATTAACCGTGTATGATCTATAAAACAACTTAAAATGGGTGTGGTGAACACGGTTGATACTGGTCTTTATTGATAGACATGCCAGGCTCACACAGGCGTTTTAGTACCTGCTAATAATTGGTATTATTATTTTGAATGTGACTGTGATGTCTGGGTTGTAAATTGCCTATGATACTATTTGAACCTATTGATTTCTCTTAAGCAAGGTTGTTTCTATCACTTCTCATTCTACGATTAAAACTGATAATCTGAACTGGGCTGATTTATCAACAAGAAGGCAGGATAAGAACTGAGTACTGCAAAATTCCCTTTCTACTGGCCTATGCGTCCGTATGTTCAGGTTGTGTTTGATACAAGTCAGATGGGTCAGACTGTGATTCATAAGCTAGACATTTCTACAAACATTCCTGGGGCTGATGAGATAAAAGTCATTGGAAACTTTTCACCGTGGTTATTGCCTTTGTCCTCCTAACAAAGTAAGTCCTGTTTAAAATTAAAGGATTGCTTTAGCCTTTATAAAGCTAGCCTGTTGCAAAACTGTGACTGGTAATAACAAATAGCTTCCC